GGATTTTGTTTTTAGTGTCAAAATTTCAAAACGATTATCACCATTGTTTTTATTAATGAAAACAATCAAAATAAAATACAGTCTTTCAGGATTCATGAAAACAAAATCACGTATTTTCCTGCTTTTCTTCTATGTTTATTTAGGTCGGCATAGTTTGTTTTTCCCTTTAATTCGTTCTTCATTGATTTTATCGATTTCCCCTTCTACCGCCTCTCGCTAATCATAGTCAGATTTACCTACTTGATTCCAAAGAGAGGTTAAGGAGTAAGACAAAAATGCAAATTTCTCGTTTCAACAACTGTGCCTTTCCTAACACAGATAGCCACATCGATCGTCAGTCAGTGCCAGAAATAGACCGCAGGTTTAGCCCGAGCGGCGTCTGTAAATTTTAAGATCGCGATACTCGAACAAATAAACGGAAACACCGAAATCACTATACGAACTACACAAAGAAATGTATCGTTACACATAATGGACCTTTACATAATGGTTTGTCCGTAAATGAGACTCAATTTGTAAAACAAATGAATGTGTTAAGTGGAATGTACGGTCTATGACAGTCAAAATGGTAACACAAGGGACCAATGGCTATAATGTTTTAAAAGGCCAAAACAGTCATGTTTAAAATATTTGTATTTTGAATATATTATATGCAATGCTACTTTTCTCGTACCATTAAAATTACAGATCTACGGTCAGAAACATGCATTCTTGAACGCTTGGACAAATTTAGTCGGGTTTATCAATTACAACGGCTTGGATTAGGATAATGACGATATTGTATCTGTTGTTATCAAACGCAACTGGAAATATTTCGTAATCTATATCAGCAATCTATATTATTTCGGTCACGTAATACATTATTACTAATTCAGATTTGTATTGCTAAGAAATTTCCCAAAACTGTAAAATTTCAATAAGGAGATGATAAAAGTTAAGTTGCTGAGTTAGAGAAAGTAAGCAAGAAATGTTCGTAGGAGTTCGCAAAATAAGTAAATAGGTCATCAAGATAAATTGAGCCTAGTTGCATGTCGTCATTCAACCATGACAATACAATTGGATGTCACGTGTGCTTCTGAATGGCAGCTGTAGGCGGCTAATGTGCAATAAGGGATGATAAATGGAGCACGAAGATGTGGCACGCTAGCGAGGACTCAAAATTAATGCCCAGTTTTTATAAATTAATAAATCCTCATTGTGTGGATTTTAACAACCATAATGTGGCTGAATCGCACTGTAAGTTAATTTAATAGTCATATCAATTTAGTCGTGATCAGCGTGAGATTAGTCTTATTACAGAATGTAGCACCTAATTGGAACCAATAAGAACTGTAAACGATGATGCACCTCTTGATTATGTTATGTCATTTCTGAGTAACAAAAATAACTTGTTACAGCACCGAATGCTGCCCAATCCGAGTCATTTGCGTTCGTTTTAAACTGTGATTCACTAGCCTTTATTATTAGTGCATTCATTCTTAGCCTCGCATGTGTGATATCATGCACTATCTCGTGACAATGCGCTGGACCTCAGCATGGAAATCGCTCGGCCTTGTTGCCGTGTCAAGACACTAACCAGTCATTCTGGCGGGTAATAAAATAAGATCTGTTACGTGACGTTGATAATGTTTACCGATTTGATTCATCGGCTAGCTTTTCACGTTTGTAAAATAAAACCGCTGAAAACGATAATATTAAAAGCAGATGAACCAAATCCGAAGAATTCAATTTACAAATTCAGCAATCTCGATCCTTCAGACTTATGGAAAAGGGATATTGAAACGAACGCGAATAAATAAGAATTGGTGGTAATAAAAAGGTATAAAAAGTTCTTTACGACGGCAAAACCCTCTCGAAATGCGAAGAGAGGTGATACAAAGGTAAGGGAAGGTCGGAGATTCGCAGAAATTGGGTAAACGGCACGCGATACCGATACACATCTATAACCGTCACTCCTAGAGGCTTGTACCAATAAAAATCGTACTAGGAATTGAGTAGAGTCAATTTCATTTCAATAAACTTTAATTTGACAAAAGATATTCCAACAAAAAATTAAAGACCCTTACAAAACTTAAGAACGAAAACATCAGAGGTACAAAACAATAAGACGTCAAAAGTTGTAAAACACAATCCCGATAAGAGTCACCGAGACTCAGCCCGCATCACATTTCAACTCCGGTGTGAGTTCAAATAGGAAAAGTGCGCTATCAACGTATCCCGCCGCGGAAGAGGAAACTTGCCGCTCCAATGCGCGTTCAACACAACAACATGTAATGGACGTTTTATTCGAGCTTTTTGCGGCGCCCTTTGACCTTTGCCGTAATCAACTTTTACATAGCTTCCATTCAAACCGTGATTGACTAAAAAACTTTGGATAAAAACTAGTGTGATGGTAAACAAACAAGTACTCAAGAAATCCATTCTAAGATAAATGAATAAAAGATAGAACAAGCCCACTCTAAAGGTGTGCAAAAGCAAATTGTGTTATCAGTAATTGCTGATAAGCACTAGTTGTTTTTAATGGTTAGATAACAGGCCACCAGCTGAACGTAGATTCCATGACGGTCATGAAAGTTGTAGCGTGATGTGAGGACCCAATGAGTGTTGGCAGCTTCTAGATCAATACGCCGAGGGAGTTTCAACTGGCGGTTCGCCAACCACTAAAACACAGGCCCAAGTTTATGTCGACGATGCGAGAGGCGCGTTGTTTTCAAGCGAAAACTCGGGGCCGTGAGGCGTGAACTCTTCGCTTTGAACCGGCTGGAACCGCTGTCCGGGTGCAGTGTCACGGCCACTCTCTGTTGCCACCGACAATAATAAGCCCGGCGACATTGACACACGACTAGTCGATAGCAAAAACAATGTTCGACACGACCAAGCCGGAACGCTTCCAACGACGCACGTGAGCTGAACGCACGTCATCAACTATTTCAGTACCATAATAAAGCACTTGAAAGATCCATGAGCACCATTTTATCCGAATATGGTGGTCAAATATTTGTTTTTTTTTTTAAGTAACATGTCGACGAAATCTCCAAGGCAGTGAAGTTGCAAAAGAGTCCCAATGAAAATTAATTGTTGTCTACTACGTTTCCCAAGATAGCCTATTGTTTAGATGCATAACAATACATATCAATTCAGCGGTTTACGAGGGAGATGACATAACACAATCTGTTTACGACCGTGTTAACGTTTGGAAATGTGACGTATAACACTAATGGAAGATGAATTTGTGATAGCAAGACAAAAGGCGTTCGCCTTGAACATTCTCACAGTTCATTTAAATATTGGCCGTACAAAAATAAAGGCACAATAGCTCGACAACGGGAGGAAATTGTCACTTCTAAGTATCCGGCTACTAAATTGCTACTCGGGCCGAGTGCCGCCACTTCGCTAGCCATCATTCACGTCCAGACGGGCCAGTTCAGTTCATCGTTTAGGTTATTTTCCTTTTACAGCCTGCAAGTTCTATTTAAAAACAACCTTGATAACAATAGATGAGCAGAGTGCTTTCGCTATTGACAATAAATACGTCTGGTCGCATTCCAGCCAATTATGAAAACGTGCGACAGAGGAAGTGAGACGTACGGAATTGACAGCACGTCCGACGCAATGCAAATCTGTGGCGTGCCGGCGACGTCCATTTGTCGTGTAATCAGGACGACCCGGTCAGATCGCATGGGCCGTTCCATACCTTGTCACGAGGTGGGAGAGTTCAATTTAGATTGTGGTGACATTAATCTGGGATACGGTGGGAACGCAGCGAATATCGGGTTGTATTACAAGGCAATACAGTGGTGTGTCGGCTGCATCTAGAAGCGGTAACTGAGATACAGGCGAGAGACAGCCTCGGCAATTTGCCTATTGCTGCGTTCAATTATCGCCCCCCGCACTCATTACTGAATTAAGGCGAGAGCGACTGTAAATTTTGTGACGCCTCTGTTAGATGGAAGGATGCTTATGTAACCGGTTGTTACCTGACTGAGCTGACAGAAGTTGCATTCAATAACCTAAATGAATCTTTTGTGTCGATACATAAAGGATATTTTTAGCAAACTTGAAAGAAATTATACGAGTATATTGATCTTATGGCTTATATTAAAATATTTTCGAAGCGAATGACAACCAATAAAGTGGTGGCTACGGTCGGGAATCGTTCATAAATCGAGAAAACCACAGCAATAAAATTAATGGCTCATTCGATCGTCACTAACTTTATCGATAATAATATCGATTATGCTTTTAGTTCTAGTTTGTTTATTTTGTAAAAGAGAATGGAAATGGAAACATCCAAGATGTTTTGACCTCTTTGACAAAAGTGCCATTTATGAACCACCTAAATGTAAGATGACGAAATAATTTTAATATCCCTGAAATCATTGGGCAATGATTTGTTAACATTGCGTGATCGTGTGATACATAAACATTGTTAAATTATTTTTCAGTTTCATGGCGAAACAAGGTGTCATTGAACGAAACAAAGAAGTACAAAGAAGTACAACAGAAATCTATCAAGGAGATTGTACTCGCTAGTACCTCATGATGCAGCAGTCGTAACTGCTTTAAGGCAGTTGTCCCCAGACAACCTGGTGATACAAATACCAGTGTAACACTCACCAGGCATGAAGTGCAGGAGCGCGGCGGTGATCGGGTACAAGCTGGGGCTGTACGTGATGTCGGGACACGCATAGCCCAGCACGGACACCACGCGGTCGGCCACCGCGCGCCCCTTGCGGGTCAGGTGGTACCCGAGGCAGTGGTCGCCAAGGGCAACATGATGAATACAAACACCAGTGTAACACTCACCAGGCATGAAGTGCAGGAGCGCGGCGGTGATCGGGTACAAGCTCGGGCTGTACGTGATGTCGCGACACGCATAGCCCAGCACGGACACCACGCGGTCGGCCACCGCGCGCCCCTTGCGGGTCAGGTGGTACCCGAGGCAGTGGTCGCCTCCACGAGGCATCATGATCGGATACAAACACCAGTGTAACACTCACCAGGCATGAAGTGCAGGAGCGCGGCGGTGATCGGGTACAAGCTAGGGCTGTACGTGATGTCGGGACACGCATAGCCCAGCACGGACACCACGCGGTCGGCCACCGCGCGCCCCTTGCGGGTCAGGTGGTACCCGAGGCAGTGGGTCGCCTCCACGAACGGAGGCAGCATGATCGGCTTGTCGGGCAGCTCCACTGTGCCGAAAACCTGTGGACAAGTAACAATTGGTCAGTACGGTCATTCATTTAAGTCTTTTCTCAACTCCCGTTCCTATCACTGTTCTACAACCAGGATCCACAGCTTGACCATGATCCACCATCAGGTAATTTGGTCTCTACAGGAGCACGACCCATTGTATTTTATATCATTATCATTCAACCACAGAACGTCCACTGACAGTGGAGCTCAAAGGCCTCCCCCAATGATTGGCCGGTTGAAAACGAACTGCATTTCAACGCCATCATATCAGTCTGCCTAAATCTCGAAGACTGCTATTTAGATTCAACATTATAAGCAAATCTAATTATAAAATACTTATTGTAAACCATAGAATATGATTACTTTGTATAGTAGAATACAGACAGCTATTTTTAATACGTTTATCAAGCTACTTCATAATACCAATGTGTATTGTATTGACTTGCTATTAACTAGCTAGCTAGTTTTTTTTTCAAAGCTGTCTTAACCTACAACCTCGTCAGTTTTATCTGTATGTACATAAATAGAAATTAACGCATTATAACAATGTTTTGTTTCTAGAATTTGCTCTTTGTCACATCTAGTTTTTAACGTCCTCTCCGAGTAAGTTCCTTCTATCTTCAATGCTTTTAAATTTCAGCCGCTTCAAATGCTATGCCTTGTTTAAATCCCATGTTCTACTTACTACCAAAAAGTGCTTACACCAATAACGATATCTGTCTGATCTACTTCAGTGTTTTCTTTAGGCTAAAGCACTCAACTCTCAGCGGATGTTATTGAGACGTAAAATTCTGCAGTCTGATCAGTTATATGCGAATTGATACAGTTAACACATAAAGATTTGTTATACCAATCTCCTGTTGCTGGCGCGTACAGTGCACATAAAACTATGCTTGATCCTTGGGTCTTTACAGTAAGGAACAGATTGGGATATGCAGTGATTTTATCGGGGCCGACTGTACGATCCGGCGTGATTATCCACTTTGAGGCAAGGCCGTCGGCCATACTAGTCTAGTCATACGAATTTATACATTTTGTCTACGTGTGTACTAACTACGTTATGTACTACATTGCCAGTACTGCCACTGCCAACCGACTTCCTTTGAACGTAATGACAGACGGAGTACCAACATGGAAACTGTCTGTTTTCCAATTGAATATGATGTCAAAAAGGCTGTTCAGATCGTAATTTCTATGCTGCTTTACTCAAAATAAAGTGAATAAAGATTCGCGTACCTAATAAGCAAACTTTTTGTGGCAACAATCCACCATTTTACATCATAAAAATAACAATGTACCTGACGAACCATGACTGGAATTGGAATAGCTGATATGATCCGATTATACGACATCCCGCTTTAAATTCAAATTTCAATTAAGACTTTGCACAGCGTGAAACAACTATCAAATAATATTTGCATTGCAAATACAATTTACTTAAAATTGTATTGGCAAAAGTTATAATCCCGAGTGATTGTGTGAAAATGTAGTACAATACAAATCCAAATACCAAACCCATATAGGAACTAATATTCTTATCTTACACGAATGTGGGAGTCGGCGTAACACAAAGGTTGATAACGATAGACATAGCTGCGCCCGCGTCTTTTTGACCGCCGAAAACTGCGGGGCAACGACCTAATCCGCCATCACCGTCTCTATGACAAATAAATACCACCAACGAGCATTTTTCAAGTCGTGTCACAAAAAATCCCGAGCTGGCAAATGCCGGGCACGCTCTATATTTAGATATCGGCACAGCTCGCGAATTCGCAAAGATAATATTGGGATTAGGAATAAGCTCATCTAATCCAGAACGCGATAATTTTAGAATAGAATACGGTGTCGTACATCTTAGTGCTCTAGTTATAATGTAAACTGTAAACAAACATCAACGTTGAAGACTAGTCGGCGGCGGATCTTACAATATGTCAACATGGTAGCTACTTGAGTGATTTGAAACCGCAATAATATTAGCAAAATTATTAATCTCTCCAAAAGCTGGATAAATTAAAATGGTAATCATTCTTAATTATTAAAATATGCTGTAAAGTTTGGTTGTCTTTAAGTCGTTAAGTCGTCTTAACTTTTACTCAAAAGTCAAGCAAATCAAATTATTTGACAAAAGGTATTAATATTCAATTCAAATAAAAAGCTAGTCACCTCAGTAACAATGCTACGCCTACGCTTAAGTTCTGAAAAAGTAAATACGGGTGATCTACCTAAATACTGAAATGCATAAAACAGAAAGTTCACTCAAGTAGAGTGCTTAGCTAAGCAAGCATTACTAATGGAAGTTTTCCAGCGTTACGGGCAACTTTGAGAAGTCCACATGAATAATTTACTACCTGTTTGTGTCAATGTTTCGCAAGCTTTGTATGGGCTGTAGTACGAGTAGGTTTTGTTGTACAAAACAAACGTATGTGTACACCCCAAGGTCATTTTACAGCTTATAGTAATACAACTTATGTATTCTATGACAGTAACTATTTACATTTTACATTCATACTCCGCTCTACAAATGCAAAAAAAACTCAGGTATGTTTCGTTTAAACCGCCGAGCTATGTGGATAATCTTATGCCTTTGCTAAATATGGGAAACGAATAATTTCTCAAGTAAAAAGTTCGGAAAAAACATATTTATGTAATTGGATAGAAATCTAATGATGTAAGTAATTGATCGTGTGAAGCGATATAGAGGTTTTCTGTGACAGACAGAAGGTAATGTAGGTAAGTGGACGAAGCCATGGACAAGGTAGTATAGCAATATAGCCCATTCATTTGAAGTGCCAGATAAGTACTGTTATCGTCACTGTTGCGATTGTTTAACATATTCTTCAGAAATAGAGTGTTATCTTAGTCCACTGCTGACTTTCTCAAAAACTTTTAATCGTAAGTCATCATCAGTAGTTTCCACAATTTTTTTGCCGCAATCATAGTCTTTCTCAAATGAAGCAGCAAGTTTTTTTGCTAAGCCTGTTTTTATAACATACTGGCTTCTTTTTGTACGCAGAAAAACGGACATACTTCGAAACATTTCTTTAAGATAGATTGTAACTCAAGTGTTTACGCAACTAAGTAAAGGAAATCAAACATCTAACAATTTAAAAAAAGTCCTGAATTGGAAATACTAAATGAAAATAATACTTTCGGGTGTTTATCCGTGTCATGGAAACATTTTGGGAAAAAAGGCAGCGATTTAAACGAATTTTTTTCAAAGAATAAAGCAGACATTACAAAAGACTTCGGACGAATAAAGGCTGTTGTAGCCTATCAAAAAATATCTGAAAAATATGAACACAATCAGCACATTGTCGTTGAAACCCCGGGTCGCTCCCGTTGTATTACCCCGCTTATTATTCGCGACGCGTACGCATCGTCCGGGCCCCTTGAATAATGAATTCCGTCGAGTGCGTCGGTCAATTTTTTGCAGACTACTCGTAGCTCCGCGAGTTGGTTGGCCTCAGCTCTAATGAAGTAAATTAATGATACTTGATACTAGGGNGAGATTCGTTAACGAACTAAAGTTGCCTGACATATAGCGATCGGATTACCAAGCTAAAGTGGCAATGGGCAGGGCACATAGTACGTAGAACAGACGGCCGATGGGGCAAGGTTCTAAAGTGGAGGCCACATACGTGTACGTGTTTGTCGGAAGGCGCTTTCTTTTTTTAACCAACTCCGGAACTAGAACCCGAATTCCGGAGTTGAGTGCCCAATATCGGAAATCAGTTCCGGAGTTGAAAACTATCCAATATTGCAAGCCCTACTTGATACAGTTGAAATATTAGTAATGTACCATAACGATAATCTTTGGTTCAAGTTCCGCTTTGCAAAGAACACCGCGGTTGTTCAATCAATTTAATTAAAAAATCCTTAAAATGTCGTCAATAGCGATTTAGCGAGCTAATAAATTACGCATTGAGTGGAATTGGATTCGTTTGGAAAATCAGATCGCGTGCTTGTCTTGTCGGCAAAAAAGTTTGAATTTCCATAACTCGATTAATTGCAAGCGTACAAAAAGCCAGCTATCGTCCATGGCGGTTCGCGTGAGTGCCACGCCCCCAGCGTGCGCGCTCCGGGCGTCCTTCTCGCTGTCAAGGCCAACTACGGATCTTCTGCAAATATTAGCTCACATAAACTAAGCTAGATTCCACAGGTTGAAAAAGTAGAGGTCCCAGTAAGGAACCTTGAGGCACACTCAAACGAATTGAGCTTTAGAACAGTTATGTAATTATTATTTGTTTCTAGCAGGTATGGCTCATGTAAAGCATCATAATTTTTCTTGTTGAATTACGAATAGGTATATATTTTGTGAACGACAATATCGAACGCTTTTGACAAATCTCTAAGTAGAGATCATCCGCAGCGGTTTTAGCGCGCACGCGGCGTCCTTCGCGCAGTCAAGGCCGCCCACGCGCACGCAACCTGTATCCCAGAGCTTTGTTTATCTCCAAACCAGTTTTCTTTAGGTTGGTTAGGATTTTTTGCTCACTGATCGACATCGAGATTAAATATGTTACAGCCGGTTTTGAATACGCCTTCTTTTAGAGATTTTACTGTTCCTGTCGAGTTCAAGTTGAAATCGTGGTTTGCAGTTTTAAAACACAAAGCGTATAGTCACGAATAGACTAATAAGATCAGTTGCCGATAATAGCGTACAGATTTACTACCGCAGTAATTCAGTAGAAAAAACACGCGAAAAACAAACTGTAAAATTTAAAGATAACAGATCAGTGATTCTTGGCAATTGTTCTCACGCGTCCAATAACAATATCTACGAGTGTAAATATAAACATTGAAGTATGTATCGTGATGCGCTACGATTGAGGGCGAAGTTCGGACACGCGTGGGCGCACAATTTACTCCAACTAGCTAATAAAAATTATGTGGCGTGCACGACAGTAAATAGTCATGTAATAAATAAGCATAAGCAAAAACATTTTCTTTTCAAGTGTTTATCGTTATTGTTCAGATAATAATAAACGTATCAAGGATAATTAGTACCT